GACAAGGAGAGACCCATCATTGCATCTAGATGGCAGCTTGCAAGCTTTTAAGATCCCAGTCGCTACTCGCCAAAGTAGGAGGTGGAACAATATTTTGTGTAGTATGTTATGCCAATTGAGCTTGATGTCCCCTGCGACTTTGGTCCCAAGCCCACAGGTTCAACTACTTGGTCCGAAAATCAATGTTTTTAAAACAAATTTTGCCAAGACTTCTGAGACTACTCATAAAAAAAATTGCTTTTAGATAATAACAAACAAGTATAAATACCAAAATCCACTCCCCAAAAAGTGTTTATTAAATCTTACATTTTCTTACTTTCTTGACGAGAAAAGTTCGTAGCCATAGAGAGATTTATTTTTTCTTTTGTGCTCCAGAGCTTTTACCAGTCTTCTCACGCATCGTGGAAGCGACCAGGTGTAACGGGGTTATTGCCACTTGTATTCCTCGGGTGGCAGGACCCTTGGAATCCAGTATTTGAGCTGACCTCTCCCCATTATTAAGGAGTTCTGGTGGCCTAGTGGCTAAGGCATTTAACTATTAACCAGAAGGTTGGTGGATTGAACCCACCAGCCCTTCTGCAGAAGGAAGACTGGGCAATCTACTTCCGTAAACATTTACCGCCTCGGAAACCCAAAGGGGGTCGCTATGAGTAGAAATCTACAGGGTGGCAGTGAGTTGGGTTTTTCAGTCTCCACATTATTGCTCTAAGAAGAGATGTTCCAAAGGAATTGATCCTTTCTATGTCAGCTTTAGCTTGGGTTCTCAGAAGTCCCCAAACTCAGGGCATCCATGATATACCCATGTACCCTGACATTGCTATTTTTCTGTTCATTCTGAAATGGACTTTATAGGAACTGAGATGAAGAGCTCCTAATCACTGCTGTAACCAGAGTTTTTGAGTCTTCATTTCAACACTGTGTGCTGTAGCACCCAACAGAGGGAGGGCCTTGTATGGGTATTTAATAGATGTTGCTTTCATTGGATTTTTAAAGCATAGATAGCATCCTTTCTTAAGAAGTTTGAAGGTGTAACAGGATGTCTGCATTGATTTAAAATCTGTTAAAATTCAAAGGAAGGTACTGGGGAAAGGAGGAAAAGGAAATTAAAAATTCATTTCACCTCTCAGTTCTCCCAAGGCTGAGAGCCAAATCACTGTGGTGAGAGAAGATGGGTTTCAGGAAATCTAGTCCTAGGAAAACCCTGAGCCTCCAATATTCCACAGTATTTTTGCCTGATGCTCTGGTAGCGTAGTGCCTAAGGCACTTGACTGCTAACCAGAAGGCTGGCAGTTCAAACCCACCAGCCACTCATCAGAAGGAAGGTTGGGCAATCTACTTCCGTAGTGATGCTGCCTCGGAAACCCAAGGAGGGGTCGCTATGAGTCAGGTCCGATTCAACAGCACATAACAAAAAAAAAAAAAAACGAGCTATAGCCTGCCAGGGCTGCTCTTTGGAGTAAGAATGAGATCCAGATACAATTAATCTGTACCTCCATTTAAGGACTTAAATCAATATCTCTGAAACTCTAGAGTGCATTAAAGTTCCCTGAAGTTCTTGTTTAAAATGCAAATACTAGAATTTTCATCCCTCCTCACCCAACCTCCAATTCTGAGTTCAAGCATAAGGGATAAGGCTAGGATTTAAGATTTTTAACAGGTAGATCAGGTAATTCTAATGCAGGTAATCTAGGGTGATAACCCTTTGGGAAGAGCTGATAAACTCAAGTCAAAAAGTAAAGAATATAGAATTGTGGACTCTGTATTTTGAGCATCAATATAGCAGAAAGCTTATCAAAGTTCACTCCAGCTGCCTTTCACCTCAGTGAAAGAGCCACTCTACTCAGTGAGTAGAGCCACTCCCCTCTCAAGGCTGACAGGCCAAGGCAAACATGAGGAGATAGTCACACTCTGTTGCTAAGGGAGCTCTGGTGGCATAGTGCCTAAAGCATTTGACTGCTAACAGAAGCCTGGTGGTTCAACTCACCACCTCCTCCTCGGAAGGAAGATTGGGCAATCTACTTCCCTAGTGATACCGCCTCAGAAACCCAAGGAAGGGTCGCTATTATGAGTCGGATCTGACTCAAAAGGCAGTGAGTTTGGTTTGTGTGTGTGTGTGTGTGTGTGTGTGTGTGTGTTGGTAAAACAGGAGGTGTTCATCTTTGATGTATTCTGGCATTTTTATCAGCTTTCGTTGTGTCCCTTCCAGGTGTATCTAATCAGTACCTCACCATTTTATAGGCTGCCCCTTCCCTTCATGGCAAGACTTCTTGATCTATCAAAATAACATTTTTATCAAAAATAATTATACAAGCATAAAATTTACAATTTTATTTTTCCAACCCTTTCCTCAGAGGGAACATTGGGCAATCTACTTCTGTAGTGATACAGCCTCGGAAACTCAAGGTGGGGTCGATATGAGTTGCATCCAACTCCACAGCAGTGAGTTTGGTTTGGTTTGGTTCTCAGTAAATAAGTTAGATGAAGAACCTCTAAGTGAAGGTAACATTTAATTCAAGTGAATGATTCCGAAGGCTGAATAATGAATCCTCTCACAAATCAGGTTTCCAATGACAGGTATCCCCCACTTTTCAAAAGTTCACTTTATGCCACTTGCCTTTTACAAAAAAACTATTTTAACAGCTGTTGGCTTTTTGTGGGGTTTTTTTTTTCCCCCCTTGCTAACGGAAAGAAATACAAAGAGGATTTTCACTTTTAGAAACTAAAGCGAAACTAGCGTTCAGCATTTGTTTTTCAGCGAGCCATTAAGGAGGCAGTGTGCATCCCAGGAACTACACTCAGCATCTCAGCATCAAGCCACCATAGCTTTGAACTGTGCCTGTGAACATTAACTGTATGTTAGTGTTATTTTAGGTTTTATGTGTTATTTGGAATGATTTGGTAGGTTATTTTTGGGGTCTGGGAATGCTCAAAATTTTTTCCCATATAAACTAATGGTGATTCTGTTTTTACTTTACACCATTTTGGCTTATGAAAGATTTTATAGGATGCTCTACTTTCAGATAACACAGGAAACCTGTGTTTGTTTTCCATGAAATTAAAGGAGAACCAAATAGAGTTGTTGACTGATAAATTATTCAAAGTAAAGTTTAATGATAGATCACTATGTGATATTTGGTATTTAAGTTGGAAAGAAGTGATACTTAAAAACCAAAAAACTTCCTGCCGTGAAGTCAGATCCAACTT